TCCTGAAAGTTGACATCTAATATATATTGTTCTGCTTTGTTTAATTTTATGGACTGTGGCATTACTGACCCTTTCTTAGCGGTATGTGAATGCTTCCAGTGGAACCTGACCTTGCCAACCCTCTGCGTACTGTTCGCTACTTTGATTAATTAATGTTTTGTTCCCAGATTTCTTGAGTTCTCCTATGTTTTATGCAGAGATAGCTGCTATAAGCAGCGCTTTTGCTACTTGTATAATATCTATAATAATAAGTAAGTGTGTTTGGGCAGAAATTTTAGAGTAAGATCAAATGTAATTGAACATTTCCAAAGCAGGAAGCCTATGATCCTTTATGCTCTGCCCATATCATCATTCAACTCATTTCATTTTTATAGTTAGTTTTTAAGTTTCTAGTTTTCCTAGAAAAACTGCAGACAGTCAGCTTGTCAAGCTGGATGGTGATGATCTACGGCACTTATAAAACATTGCACATCGTGTTCCTTGACGTGAAATAGGGGCTGTTCCTCTTGGTGTAGGGTATTTGCTCCAGTATCTTTTTGTTGGTTGTGTCAGGGAGTGAGGATTGAATCATTCTACGGTCTTTTCTTTCATTCAGGAGAAGTAAAAAGATCTTCAGCGAATGCAATGGAAGCATCAGTTGGATTTTGGGTTTGTGGCAACTTCAGCTGAGAAAGGTTGAAAAGTTTTTACTTAATTAGGGTTATATCTATGCTTCTGATAAATTACAGAAAGCACTCTGAGATCTGAATTATCCAAGACTAGTTAGAAGATGTCAGTCCATTTTCTGTGAGATTTTCTCTCTCCTGAAGGGCAAATATGCTCACGAGAGACCTGCTGTAAAGTCATCGCTGGCTTCTCAGTGAGGCTTGTAATAGGGGGCACAAAACTGAAGCAGCGCCCTGGGATTCAACCCGCCATGCTCTGCCCTGCAAAAAGGGGAAAAAAAGTCCTGTTCTGAACCAGAACCTCGTGTTCAAATTCATTAAAAAGAAACGAGGCCAGAAGTCAGCGTTTATGCCTTTCTCAGCATTTCTTTGCAGAAAACGGAAGAACAGCTCGCTTTGTACCTCGAGACGGCATGTGGCTATGTGATGCCTGTAAGGCTTGAATTTAAATTCATTAGCTGCTTCGGAGGCAGAACATCTATGAAGTACGACAAACCAAGAACAATCTCATCCCCGTACTTCAGTCAAAACCAAGACACAAAGCTCTTTTCTTTCCCCTTGGTGATAATGGAAAGGGTAAATAACTTGAGTGGGTTCGTATAAGCCAGATCCCGTTGCCAAGAGGGCAGTTTATGGTCCAGCGCAGCCTAATGTTCCAGTATTGCAGTTTATAAAAATACATAACATTCAAAGTGGCACTGGCCCACCGTGGAAGCCTGAAATTTATTTTAAATGAGGCTTAAAATGAGGTTTGTTTTATAAAACAGTTTGTGCCCATTGGTCAAGTTCCTGGCAAGTAAATGTTCGACCGTAGGCTGCTGGATCAGGCCCAAGGTGTCGGCGTTGATGTCCGAGGCCCTGCCTGGAGCTGGCAGCACCGAGAGCCGCGCTCGCTTTCCGCGGGTGACCTCTTGTGGGGGCTGTGGGCTCGAGGGCTGCCGAGCCCGCGAGGGCAGCTGCCCCCTCGCAGCGGGGCCTGTGCTGGAAATAACTGCCCCAGCTGGTCAGAGGGCAGAAGGAGCTGAAGAGCACCAGGAAGTGCTGGAGCAGAAAGGGGTCAACCAAAAAAAGAAAGGAGGAACTACGTAAGTATCCACGTAAGCATACCTCACTCCTTATAACTACCACGTGCCTGGGGGGTCAAGCACCGGAGCGTCGCGTGCGTTGAACTGCAGGACAAGTAGGGTTTTGTACCGAGGCGCTGAGTGCCCCGCTGGGTCGCTGCAGACCGCCGTCCGCGCGTGCTCCCTGGCGGCCGGGAGCCCGGCTGAGCCGGAGACGGGAGAACAGCTCGGGGGCCCGCTGGTAGCGCTGTAGGAGCGCTTCGCAGATAAATGCTGTTGGGAGGGTTTAGCTCGCTGCTTGCTAAGCAGGCGATTTTGTTCCTCAGGGCTGTTTGTTAGTCTGGCACCTTTCCGCACATTAAATTCACACAACATAGCTTTTAAAAATAAAGGAAACAGATTCTCTCCGTGACTCGTGCCTAACAGCAGACCTTGTTCCTACATAAACATAAAAGCATCTTAACATCTTCTCTTGCACCGTGATTTAGCGCTTGGCTTTTCAGTGCGGCGGGCAGGCTTCAGCAACCGCGGTCTGACGCCGCTGCGTCGCGGTCGAAGCACGAGGGCACCTTGCTCGCGGCGCACCGCGACGGAGAGCGTCTTGGTGCCACCTTCCCAGCGGTATCGGTGGCCGTTCCCTGCCGCTCGCTCAGTTGAGAGAGTGAAAACTCACTCGGACTGGTTACGCCTTTTTTGCCCCCTCCAGACCTTATATTCTTCTTTCCCAAGTATAAAGGCCGATTCCTGTTATTAACTTCCTTGAAACCCGTTCTCAGCTCCCTGGCAGAGAGATTTGGATATGGCAGAACAATCCCGCTGGAGGAGCGGTGGCTTTCCCCCTGTGAATACCAATGACAGATTTAATGGACGAGTCCCTCAGCAGCATTTATTAATATCTGGAAAAGGAAAATGAAGTCATACGCATGCTTCTCGGTCTCGCAGGAAGCATGCTGAAACAGTGACTGATCAAGAAAGCCTCTTAACTTACAGCAGACAGAAAATAAGGCATACTGAGTTCATGAGCTTTGGGACGGCATCGAGCCCAGCTGTCTGAGTTACAGTCGGTGGGTCCAAGGCCTCGCTGCCTTAAGCGGTGTATTTTCTCCTACACGCGAGTAAAGTGAGCACGGAGAAGCCATAAAGCCTCTGGATCCAGGCCAAAACCCCGTTACTCGGTGGCAGCTCTGCACTGCCCTCGCTGGGGTGAGGTGTGGGGTGCCCTGGCACAAGCAGGGGGGCACGCGCTGGTAAGGCGAGGCCCTCCGTGCGCCCTTTATCTAAAATATATTCTTCTTGCTAACGAATATCAAACGTAATTGGCCAAATCACTAATGGGAGTAAACAGTTTCTTGGCAGGGCAACAAACTGGCCTGTCAGGGTAAGAAACAACCCAGAAACGGCTTTTGTTTTTGCTGAAGCAGCATTGCAAGAAGCAGCTGGTACATGGAAAAGCGAGTGGACAAAAGACTTTCCCAGGGGCATGGGAGGTCCCACCAGTGCTGCAAGCCAGGGCCTCCGTCGGCTCATCCCGTGTTCGTGTTGCCCAGGCGGAGTCATCCCTTGCTGGGGTGGGGTTGGATGAGGCTCCAACCTGCACACCCAAACCTACGTTATCTCAACCCGTCGCGTGTCCCAGGTAAGGTCATTTTGCTGGTGGCAGCTGAGCTGGGGATGCCTTTACGCCTCCCGCTCAGATTAGTCTGACGTCCTGCGCGTGTTTGGGTATCCCAGGCTGGGGTCAGGCGCTGCAGGAGTCGTGCGAACTTTCTTTTCTGTTGTAGCATGTAAAGGATCTCCCTAGAAACTAACCTCTGTTTTCCTCACACAATGAAAATGTAAATTAGGAACGTCAGCTCTATATCCAAAAATAAGATTTCAAAACCATTTGGCATTTCAGAATGGTTCAGTGACAACTTGAAGACTTCCAGTTGTCTCTCGTTATGAGAGATGTAGGCAGAATTCCCTCATTTGTGCTCAGATCTGAGCACCAATGAATGCTTTATCCCAAAACTTTACATTATACATGTTATTTGTAGTGCTTTTCAACTTCAAAGAGCTTGAAAAATATTAATGCAACTGCACAAAAGCCCTGTTTTCTCGCTACCACTTTACTGATGGGAAAACTGAGACACACGCTTGAGGATCTGGTTTTCTGCAGCCAGAGCTCCAGCTGGATGCTGCTGGGATTCAGCTGCACAAAGGCTCAGTCCAGGCACGGCAGGGCCAACGACAGGCCTTCGTTCTGCATGCTGCGGTCGCTAGCAAAATAACGCTCCTTAGTTCCTTTACAAGTTTGAACAGCAAAATGTCACAATTTCAGGTTTCTTCAAAACGATCAGAATTTTTCTATTCTGAATTCTGTTGTCTTTTGGCTTTAAAGTTGTGAATTCTTGATGTTAGTCAATGAGGGAAAGAACGCTTCTGCTTCCTTTCTCCTGTTTTTTACATTACCTAGTGGAAAAAAAATGAAATGTAAAAGGAAGATTTTTTCCTACTTGGAAAAAATTTGCAAAAATGCTGAAAGAATTCTAAAAAATGAACCGTAAAACAACAACAAAATACACAGGTTGGAGTGAGAAAACTTTCCATCCAGCACCTCCCTTCTGTGGCAGCTCGCGCGACTCTCCCCTTTGGCAATGGGAACCGCTGAGAAAGAGAGTGATAATCGCGTGAGCAACCTGAGTGTCTTGTTATTTCCTGGGTTGCTTTTTTTGTCCCCCCGTTTTTTCTCGCCGGTTACAAGGAGGGCTAGAGAGGCCGCCCTCCCGCTGCTGAGTGGGATCCTGGCTGCGCCAAGGGCTCAGCGCCACGGGCCGGTGTCGGACGCGAGGTGCGGGGAGCCCGCGGGACAGTGCTGCTCCCTGCGAGGCAGCAAACGCGCGTGGCGACGCCTCGGGCATCTCCTGCGGTGAGCCGAGGAAAAAGAGCGTAACCAGCAATGCCTTTTTGGTAGTATTTCTGTGGCTGAGTCTCCTGAGCGTTTCAGTCTAAGCACTTTCCTTCTTGGCAGCTGCCTTGGAGAGTTTTTCCTTGTGTGCACTTCTATGTACGTATGCGGTGAGCAAGGCAGCGTGCTCTGTAAGGAGTTCCTTCCCGAGGAACAAATGAGAACTACGTACAGTAAATACCATCCAGAATTACACCGTAATACTGGGTCTGGCAGAATTTGATGGGCCATGTGATTCATCCATCAAAATCATTTTGCAGAAAATCATGCTCCTGGCGGGTTATGGTTTTTATTAAAAGACAATATCATTAACGGTCAGTACTTCTTGGCTTTGCTATCAAAGTTTAAGCAGAACAGGATTTTTTTTTTTTTTTTGTGTGCTTAATTCAAAAGAATAGAACTGCAAGGTGTAAATTTGTAGGTAAAATTTTTTTCCCAAGGCTAGGCAAAGTCTGCTTTTATTTTAACACTGAACAATAGAACAGCGCAAGGATCTCCAACTTATTCCAGACTGGTGAAGCAGAACTTCTCTAAGAGGTCCGGGAGTACGGTACAAAGGGGGAAATGGACTCACCAAGGAGCTAGAGTTTCTCACTGAGTCTCTCTGACCAAGCCCAGAATAAAGCTCAATATCCCTCACCCATCTGCTCTCAAGCCTAACTACGCTGTATATCTTCTCCCTGAAAACGCTGTCCTCTCTGCAGCATGTGCTCGCTCACACAAGGGTTTCGCCCTTGACTGCATCGGCACAGTGCAGCCCCAAACTGCAGATCACGTCCCTCAGCTTGGAGCGGGGGGAAGTACAAGGTGCAGTAGAGCAGGATGACGTCTACCGCTGACCTGCCTTCTGGTTCCTAATGCTTTTTCTCCTTTCTTAGAAAACTGAAAGAAAACAATAATTGTAATTGAACATCCCTTGGCTCAGTAATGACTTAGTCAATGGAGTGGCAGTGCACAAGGTATAGTGGTATCCAGACATTTTAAAAAATATATACTTTTTCCAAACACTTTCTGGCTTTTTAAGCGAGTGTGGGCGATGGGAACATTAGTGCTCTGGTTCTGCATCCATACAGGTCTCCCAGGGGTTCTGGGGGAAGCGAGGCAAGGCGATCAGAAGAAGGATGATTCCACAGCTGAAGAGCAGGACGAAGGAGGCACAGGCACAGGCAAAAGACCAGGAGTAACTGTACTCAATCCAGACTGTATCCTCACTGTCAATCATCCTTTTCACAGATTGTCTCATGACTTCGACAGAGATGATGATGCAGAGACCTGAAGGAAGATGAGAGCAGTGGGTTGAACAACCCGCTGTCAATTTTCCATCCTTAATTAACCACCTTATCTGCCTTTTTGCATAGAAAAACGGTAGTGAGCTTCACAGGTGAGTCACTGACTTTAATATTTGAGGTACCAACAATAACGACTGCTCTGATCTCTGCTATAGTTCAGGCCATGTAAGTTGATTATTATCTTCTAGGAAGACCTGCAGCCTTGTTTCTCTACATTTTCCCGTGAACTAAACGCAAATATTTCAGCTCTAACCCTCCTACCTGCAAAGGTGTAGAACATGGAAGCTGGCTTCAGCAGATAGTCCCTCTTTTTCCCGAAGGATAAGAGGACGCAGATTGTTCCGATGATTGCAAAGCCAACGCTGAAGATGGCAATGGCTGCAGCTGAAATGCTGTATTCTGCCAAAGCAAAACAAAGACCAAAAAAGAAAGTAAACGTCTGCACGTTTTGAGCGTGCTCCTGTCAGCTATCGCAGAAGGTCAGTCAGACCGAGGTAGCCTCTCATTGCTGCAGCGGGAGGAAGGCTTCAAAATCAAGTGTTTCTCTCAGATAAAAAGCTGCGGTGAGTATTGGCCACGTATCTTTTGAATTTAAAGGGTGTAAAAGCAGAAAGAGGAAGAGGGGGAATCTTTTTCTGGGCACTTACTGAAGGAGCAAATGGCGCCTGCATTGGTCTGCTGAAGCGCTGGGCTGGAGTCAGCTCAGCCCTGCTGCGAAGATGTTATTGGTGGGGTTACTGCACTCCGCGCTCTCATTGCTCCCATCAGTCCACACGCTTCTCTCAAAGTAAACAGACAGCTCTATGCTATTTTCCTTCTAGCTCTGTACTACAGGACCTCAGTGAGGCCTGCTGCGCGGTGCCAACGTTGTGCCGATACAGAAGGACAGTTGCCAGCGCCATCGGGCTCCAAACCTGAGCGCCAAACCAGGCCAAGCAGGAGGGAGGCCAGAGGTGAAGTGTTCGCATAGCCTCTTTTTTTTCCTGCAAAACAATGCTTTCCAGTTCTGTGAAAACACAGCTTCTGAAGGGCAGAGGATTAAAACGTCCATTAAATGCCCTCTTTTTCGATAAGCCTGCTAGGGTCTGCACTAGACAACTCACTCAGCAAAGCTCAGTTCAATGTCTGAATGGTGGGGGAGAATTGCTAATTGAATAATCCAGACCTTCATTTACATATTGCATTCGTTTTCAGATTAGTTTAATATTTAACACGTGTAGCCATGCGTGAACATCACAGCGCCTGATGGTATTTGCCTTTCAAGCCATTAAAAAAAAATATCTTCCAGGCAAAATCATGAAGAATCTTTTTGCCTGATACTAATTAGCTCCCATCAAAATGTAGCTATTTCTGTGAAAGGGATCAGCATATTACTCTTTGTTCTCTTTGCTTTCATACTACTATTTTATTATAATTTTCTTAATGTTTTTCCTTTTTGGTTTCCTTAACTGTGTGTTAGAACTGCCTGAGAGAGTTAGTTTCAATATAAAAATCTTTCGCTATAGCTTGGGCTTTCTCTTTTACTTCAAAGAAAAGAAATTCTTTCCAAAATTCTTCTGAAATGGCCAGGAAAGGACTGGATGCATTTTTAAGGTCAGATGGATGGATCTAATACTATATAAATAAACAAAAGCCGGTAGCTCAGACATATGCTCTTCTACCCATTTAAAATTCACAAACTGTCCCGCCTTGGGCAATTACTTCTTTAGAAAACCTGCGCTGCAGGCGTTTCCAGCGTTTTTATTTCCACTGGAAGCAGAGCAGATTGTTTAATATGTGTAATGTCATTGTCAGTTCATTTACTCCACACTAAAATATGTTGTGTGGCAAACTATAGAGGAATTTGTCCTCAACGAGAAGGCAAGGAAGAGAGGACACATTAAATTAGCACTGAAAAGTATTCGGCTTTAGCAGGGACTGATTAGAAATGAATAATTTGTCTGTGAAAGACAGTTTTCAAGAGCCACGCTGTGTAAACACTGTCTGTAAGCGTCTTCACAGGATCTCGCTTCCCTCCTTCCACTGATCACTCAGGTTTTTACGTGACTTTCTTGTAAAATCAATATCCTGCACAAAGTTCCTAATGGTCTTCATAGAGTATCTGTACTTCTTTTCAGCGTCAAGACCCTGCTTGGGGTATGATTGATTTATTTAGATTTTTATTAAATGTCCTCTTCCTTCGAGGGTAAAGGCTTAGAGTGTAGAAGATGATGCCAATGTTGTAAATGTCGTTTTTCATGATGAAAAGACTTTTTCAGTTTTGATGTGTATTGACATTCTTACATATTTGTGGGACAACTTTGAGTAAGGTCACACTTAAGAGTGGAGGCAACTCATATATAAAAATTATTCTTCCCAGGAAGTTGGTACTGGACCTCGTTCAGAGCCTTTTTTACATTTATCCCAGCTGACATTATAACTGGTTGAAATTCCCTTACTGTTTTCAGTGGAAGCAGGATTGAACCCTCATTCTGGGGACCCGCTTACATTAGACCTTCTGTGCACCCAGTTCATGCAGTGTTAGGAGAATGTTTTTCAGGCTCCTTTCTTACCTTTCTGGGTGGTTACTTCAAATATCTCTGAGCTTTCTCCTGGAGTGAAGTGCTTAAAGTAGGAACAGTTGCTTTCTGAAGAACAAAGAGAAATTTAATTTTAATAGCTTAGGAACTTCTGATAAAATGCAGTAAAATTAACTTTGCTTTCTTATTGATGTGTCAAACTTAAAATGCTTTTAAGATACATGCTAATGGGATCTCAGTTCTGCTGCAGACATCCAGCAAACTCTCCTTTTAAGACTAAAGGAAGCAGTGTGGGACCTACCTCAGGGATTTACGCCTTGATCTAGCAAAACAGTTGAGGGAGTGCATTAACAGGCCTGAAAGTTGTGCTTCCCAAGCCTTCCTCTTGCAGAACTTTCCCACAAAAGGGAGATATGGGGACAAACTGCCAGTTCGATGACTTCCTCTAATGTTTCAACTTTGCTTGACATGTTGTGTCAGTCACGCTGGCTTAGCTGTATCCCAACTTGCCAAGGGAGTGGAGGGGATGGTGACACTGAGAAATCTGAGTTGAATCTGCTGTGTTTGGGAGCAGATGAGTCGGATTTGCATGGCAGGCTATCGGCTCTGGTAGCGCAGGCGAGGCTGAAGCCACCTCTGCTACCTTTTGGAGGCTGCTCCCTCCGAGAGCTTGGCACACCGATTGCACTTCTATTTCAAGCATGAATTACAGATAATTTTTCTCATTCTGTCTTTGGCCGTTACTCCGTGACTGTATTTCCTGGTAATAAGACTCCCCATGCCCACAGCTGAGTTAGCATCTCAGTTCACTCGCCTTTGCAGCTGCCTCTGCCAACTGCTCTGTATGGGCATCACCCCATCAGCCATACAAGGATCACCTGTGGCGAGCCTGGGCTCCAAAAAGGGAGGATTGCATGTCCTTGTCTGTCTTCTCCCTCCCTGATCTTCCCTTCTCCTTCTCCTGTCCCTCACTGCAGCAGTGACTGGGAGGGAAGTAGCAGCCCAGGAAAGTTTGCTGCGTGGAGGCTTCCTAGGGTCACTGCGCTGGGGGTCATCGGGTGAGAGACTGCGGCAACGCAACAAAGCCCATGACATTTTCCTACGATAGGGAGGATCCAGGCTTTTTTTTTTTTTTCTTCTCCTGACTATCAGATGCCTGACACTAGCTATCTGAAGCTGCAAACAAAGGTTGTAAAAGGAAGGAAAGGCCAATTAAAGCCGCACAAGTCAAGGGCAGATAGGATTTCGTGCAACCTGGTTTTACCAAAGTTTGCTCCCATCAGGCCAGTCTATTAACTTAATTTGATAAGATAGCAGAGTTAGATAGTGGGAGCTTAATGGAGTTCCTCTGTCTGGACTTTATGTGAGCTTGCTGCCAGATAAGCAGGATGTTTGTAGAGGGGTTGTAAGCTGAATAAGATCATGATCGTGGGCAGGGCAATAATGAGTGGAGGGAAGTTTCTAGCCGAGTCTCTCAAAGACACGGCTTGTGCATGGTGCTGTTTAATCCTCAGCACAGTGAAATTAAGCATGCTAGGGCATGTGGTTACTGTTAATAAATACATGGGAGTTGTGAGTGGAAATAAACAGCAGGCAGGAGAAATACTGTTTAAGATGGATAGGGATACAAGAACAAACAGTTATAAACTGTGATCAGGAAAGTCTCGAGGCTGGAAATTAGAAGAAAAATGGTTCTCCGTGCTTGAGAGGCATTTGACTCTGCACTTTCTTTCTGAAGAGAGACAGGGCAGGAACAAAACAATCAATGTATGGGGCTCAGTCTGTTTTGCAAGACATGGTATGACAGGGTGGCCAGGCCCTGGGTGCTGACGTGCAGAAGGGCCCGCTAGCCTGTGTGCCTGGTGTGGGATTCATCCTCAGCCGCGCTGTGAAACGCATCACTGCGCATCCAGAACAAGACACTGCTTTCAGCCGCCGGCTGAAGTGTCGGAGCAGGATGGGGAAGGGTCTGCTGAGGACCTATTGACTTTAAGTTTTGGCAGCAGTTGTTTTTGGAGGGAGCATGTTCTCCCTATTTATAACCTATTTAATTGAAGGTTTGAAGGGGGTGCAGAGCTGAGAGAACAATTGCTTGCCAAGAATTTGGCTGGAATTGTGCAATCATTGAGGTGCCGCCAGCAGCGCCAGCGCTCTGATTGAGCTATTCTCCCGAGCAGACGCTTGAGAGGACATGTTCAGCGCCTCTCTTTCTGCACCCTGTGCTTCAGCTTGCAGGACACAGGGGAAACTTGCCAAGACTGCATGAAATACAATGACTGTTGGTGGCCGCTTTGTTAACATCAGCATCTCTTGTCCGTTAACAAATGGAGTTAGTGAACTTCCACGAATCTTTGGGAATAAGTCTGGGGGACGGAGTATGCTCCACGTTACACTCCTGTGTGGTGTCCAGGCTGGGATGTGCTGCTGCAGTGCAAGTTTGCTGCCATGGGGCAAAGTCTGAGCAAGTGTCCCTAGTGCACAGAGACTGCGTAGGGTCCACTGCCTTTTTTGTGCCCAGGGAAAACATAATACATTTCTGTAACTGCTGTGGCACCTCTTGGGCCCACCACACGAGAGTGGCTGGCCATTAACGGCTGTGAACAGAGGAACCTCTGGGGAACTGGTTCCTTCTTGGAAAATTTACAGCACTTAATTTCTAGAGGCAACAAGATACCATTTGGGTTCTTTTGTTTCTCCTGTCACATAAATGGCAGATTTTAGAGTTACTGATTCAAGGAAGATTTATTTTCTCTCTCCAAGGAGACAGACATTCTAAAGCAGCATTTTGGGGCCCATTAGTGAAAGATTCCTCCGAGGCATTGTTATCTATTTATTTTCATAAGATGACTTGTGTCACGTTTCCAGCTTCTCCTGTGTCTGAGACTAGGTTAATGGTTGTTCAGCTCTGGCATCTCCTGACCGGTTCTTTATTATCCCTGCAAATGACTGGGGCAAACATGTTTGACCTCAAACATCTGCGACTAAAACTGCAAATGATGAGCCCAAGAGAGCAACGTGTCCCTGAGCAAGCAGGGCTTGGGCAGCTGCGGACCTTTGCCAACAACCTGCTGGTGGCTGAGGCTGAAAATCACTGCTGGTGATAGGAGGCTAGTTCAGGGGTCCTTTCACTCCTGTGCTAAAGGGTAGGGAGACAGGATGAAGCCGACACACTTCATCTTGAATTCGTGTTTGGCTTCTAATTTATTCTATGAAGAGAAAAGCGTGAACTGAAAGGAATTCCTGAGGGTGCTGACTGTACAAAACCAGCGGTCAAACACGTCCAGCTATGGTGTGACTTTCACAGTTTTGTGTAGATGGCAGATGGATAACTTATGTATGTGACAGATAAATAGTGGATAACACTGCCCTGGTTTGAGAGCAGCTGGCTCAGTGTGGGTCAGCGCAACGCTTCGATGGATGAGCAGGGAGGCAGAGAGTCTCCGCTGATGGGATTAGAAACATCATAAAATCATGCATGGTGGAGGGGACCATGCCTGCTTCTGTTTTGAATAGCTAGAGTGACCCACAAACATGGGCACCGCGAGAGTATTGCCCAGCAATAAAATATGACGCATAAGTCATTAAAAAAATCAGATTTACAGGACGTTGTGTAGTTCAGCATAGGATCTGTTTCTTTCCTGAAGATGGCAAAGGGTCTGAAATTAGCACACACCTTGATGTATTTTTCAGTGGTACTTGCTTTTAAACTAGAATACAGGCAAAAAGGCAAAAAAGGAAATGGTTATTTGTGTTATCCTCATGCTAAGGAGCCCTTGTCTTCAAGCAGGTGCTTTTCCAAAGTCTCCCCTTGCTTGGCTGAGCCAAGGGAGTCCCCCCTCCTGCCCAAGCAGAGTCAGCAGCTGGGGAGTGCTGGGAAGCCTCTTTCAGAAAGGGACTCATCTTCGGGAAAAGAGGCTGGTTCTGCATGTTGTGGCTTAAAGCATAAGCTCTTGAAAGGTATGATAAATGGGGTTATCACACAAGTGAGTTAGCTTTGGGAAGGTATTCGTATTGGTAAATACAGTTATTGTGGGAGAACAAAACCATTTTTTTGGGGGGTGAAGTGGTATACTGTTTTCAGTTTAAAGACACTTTGGTGCTCTGCTAAGCTGGGAATATCTGTATCAACAAAGTCCCCTATTATTCAAGAGAACTGAGGGACTTCAGTCCCTCTGGGGGTCATCACGAATTAGAGAAAAGCCCATTTGTGTCACACCACATTTACATAATGGATAGGATTTAAAATGAGATTTATAATGGATGAAAACTTTGTGGCAATCTTGGTTTCTCTCCACTGCTAATTGCATAATATCTATCATGATGTCACCTACTGCACTGACTTGCCCAGTCCAGGGGCTCTGAAGTCCTGAGGGGCAGGTGTGAACTCAGAGGACTAGCGTGGTTCATCACACACTGCCCTCCCCTTCCTGGTCACCTTTGCTTACACCACTCCTGGCCCCTTCCCTTCACATCCACGACTCCTGGATGACTTCTGTGCGTGGGGAAATGGGCTAACTCTTCTTTCCTCTGTTTCCGCAGAGCCAATCCCTCCTGCCACGCAGAGCCATGGGGAGCCTGAGGGCAGCCACAAGATGAAGCTGTAACACAAGAGCCTCTGAGGTTGAGCCTCTGAGTGCCACAATGTGGAGTCCTCCTGGAGGAAGGAAGGGTAGAGAAGCAGATGTTTGGGGCATGCAGAGTTTAAGGGGTGGCAGCCATCACTGATCAGCATGGAGTAGGGGTTGGAGTCAGGTTTGCTCTTGAACCCGAGAAGGATGATAGCGTTGGGGTATCTGTGGCATGCTGGAAGGTTAGGAAGATCTGGATGAGGGATGCTTTTAATCTGAGATTGTCATTTGTGTTAAGTATGGGGGACAGGACCTGCTGCCATGGTTAGAGGAGGTGTTGAGGGTTAAGGTGAGGACTAAGTGATGGTGGATGCTAGACCCTGGGTTTCCACCTGGCTATCAAAGCTGGGGGAAGCCAGAGGAGGGGCTCTGAAACACATCATTGAGTTTTGGAGATGGTAGCTCCGAATAGTTTAACTTCATAGTAGTCTTGCAGGGTGAGTCTCTTGTACGGATGGGAATGTGACACCCTTTTGGTTAACTCATTTGCTCTAGTTATTTTCCTGTCAGACTCCAGCTGCCTGAATTCAGATGCATATATTTAACAGGAATGATTTAACCTGCTTGTGGCAGACACAGGCTATAGAGCATCACTCGTGCTACCCAACTTGCAGTTGCACAAGAGCATGCTTTTTAGGATGACACCTATGTTGGAGTTAAAGGTTGGCAGTGACAGAGGTCTCTGTCACACCTTTTAGTAAATGGCTCCAATGGTCCATCGATCACAGTTTAAAATGTCCCTACATTAATCTGAATCTGCCAAGTTTTAACTGTCACCTCCCTGATATTTTTATTCCTCACAGCAGCATGCCAAACCCTTTTCCAATTTGTCAACATCCTCTGAAGAGTGTTGTTAAATTTTAAACATCTTTGCTTAAATCACAGGCCTGTTTTGTAGATTATGAGCCAAGTCATCTTCCACATTTTGCACTGCGCTAAGCTCAAAAACTAATAAATAATATTAATAGTGCCATCCATTTCCTCCTAAGAGTGACTAGTAAATGGTTATTAATACAGTGATAAATTCTTATGTTTCTTTTCCACCGACAGCAGTAATGTCTGATTATGTCTCATGATTTTCAGGAAAACTGATTTCCACCTATGCGCTCTTTTACGCCACATTTGGTCATTCGCAGGCTTCACAAGCGCAGTGATTCTCTGCTGACATCTTTCCGAAACTGGGAAATCAACCTAAGGAGAGACCTGCAAAGGCAGCGTGGCAGCAGCCTGCCGTCCTCGGTGGCTGGGCTCTTGGTCACCTCACCATGCCGTGTCCTCTGTGTAAGTAAAATGAGGGCTTTAATTCTTATTTTATAAGAGGTGAGGATGTAATTCATAAGGTGAAGGCTGCTGGAAACCTCGGAAGCTTATTTTGACCCAGGACTTCAGCCAAATTCTAGACTATCTTTCAACACCACAAAAGCACACCAGCCGGACAAGCTGCCCATGGTGTGGCCGAGCTGCCCGTGGAGGGCTTGGTTCGGTAGCTCCACAATTACCCGTTCCTTTACTGCGCCCATTAGAAAGGCAGCGCGGGGACATGATTCAACGTCTGTGCAAGCACATGCTGATGTCTGTCAAAGATAGTAGCCCCTTTCGGGCTGCCCTGCCTGTGAATCTGCTTTCCAGAGACAGCTGGATATTTATGAGTTTTATATTTATCCAGCAGTTGGTGCAATTTTGCATTTATCAACCAATTTCTATTATTTTCCTTTTGTGTGAGTTTTTGTCCACGTGCAAAGCAAAGCCTACAGCGAGGAATATGTAAGCGCCTACACGAGAGACGTTAAGTTTCCAGATCACGCGCTCCCAAATTTGGCTAGAGGCAGATCTGAATGCTGCGGGCTAGCTCCTCGCTTCAGAATAAATAATTCTGCCAAACAGATAAAGAATTGCAGTAACATAGAGAATATACACTAAACACAGGCAGCAAGATTTTCATAAGAACTCTTCAAATATGTGTTAACATACATATTTCATTTCAAACAGCGAGGCTAACGTGAAGGCAATCCTGTTATTTCTGTTCTGGAAAGAAGCCAGTTCCCTATCAGCCTTCCCAAAAAGCAGCGTAGTTCAGTCACGGCTAGGGTATATTAGTACACGCTGCGTGAATGTTGCTGACTTTGCAATCAGCAAACATATAACGAGCTCCTTTTACCACGGGAATGTAAGGGTCTTCCTGGAAACCAGCTAGGATCGCTCCTCTGCCACCCTTCCTATTGATTTCGGTGGAATACCTTGCAATGAAGAAATGCATCCGATTAGGCTGCTTTCAGCTGCAGAGCCCGGGCTTTCCTTCGCTGCAAGGTAAGGAGGCTCAGGAAGGCAGTGACAAATCATTTCTAACTCCGTTTGCAGCCTTTTTTTGGAAGCTGGCAAACCGCAGCCCTGCTCGCAGCCCCAAGCAATGACTGTTATTGAAATAGCCCGTGGATAACTTAATAACTGTCATGAACAAGCTGTTCCTTCATAGCCAGCTGAAGCAGGAAACCCTCCTGCTTCAGCCACACAGGGTGGCCCAGTCCTGCAAATCCTCCCTCCGCCGACGCTCGTCGGAGGTGGCGTGGGTTTGCCCGCGTGCCGTGGGACCCTGGGCAGATGTCGGCACGATATCCTCCATCCAGTCCGTGATTTCCACCGTGTCCGATCCTTTTCCCTGATTACCCGCCGCTCCCTTTGCCGCGCAGGGGACCGACGGCTTAAAATATGGTTAAAAATACATGGGCAAGGCAACGCGGCGGCGCACATGCACAGCACGAGAAATGAGAGCGAGCGGCGTTTGCAGGGTGCTACGAAAGCGAAGCAGCGTGCAGCGCCCTGTCAGATTAAGAGCCGGGGTGGGGTGGGGAGGGGGAAGAGACACCGTATTTTGTTCCTGCCGTGTGCCGTAACCTCCTAAACACCGCCTGGAGTCACCGCTGACGCTTTCTCTCGTGCGGTTTGTGCGCGGCTGGGGAACGAGCGCCGTCACGTACCTCCCGGCAGGCTTATGGGCCCGCAGCCCTTCTCCCCGGCGCCTCGCTCTTGCACGTAAATCCGCTTTGTGCAGAGCCGCCATAGCCCGAAATGAGCCGCTTCGCAGGTGGCGTTGTACTCCTCCACCTTGGGGCTCAGCACGGCCCAGTGGTCAGTCACTACGGCGGCGAAGAGGAGCGAGACGCCGACCAGGATGACGG